TGGACATCGACAGAGAACAGAGTGCGAATCTCGTCGATGGTGAGGGGCCGCTCAGCAGCCAGAACCCATGACAGCATGGTCTTTGCATCATTGCTGGGGTTCAGCTGTTTGAAGAGATTCACAATCAGGTCAGAGATTGTAGGTTTGGAAGTCTCTAAACCGCTGATTACCTTGCTCATAGCATCAGGGGATTTCTGGCCGTTGAGTAACTCACAAATCAATGAGAGCTGCAAGAATGACCCATTGGATATTTGGATAACCCGATCCACTAGTTGTTCTTGCTCGATAGCACGTTGGCCATGGAAGTGATGGTTGTGAATCAACGACCGTAGGGCAACAGCGTGCAAGTCATCCCGAACATCGTCGCGTGTGATTTCATGCTGAATGCCCATGGATGGAGATGAGAGTTTCACAGAAGAAGACATTGTAATCAGTCTTACGCCGCGGCCCTGCTTTGTAACCTTGGCCAACTTCTCCAGAAGACCGGTCGGGCTGAAACCACCCATTGCTTGTACGGAGGCGCTCTTGGAGTCAGCGATCTCGTCCAGACCGTCGACTACAATCACAAGCTCATTGGAGCCAGCAGCAGGGTGCTGAAGGGCCTCTGTCAATGCCTGCCAAAGATACTCTTCGTAAGTCTTGACATCTTCACAGTTTCGGCACTGGTTATAGGCCCGGAAAAGCGCCCAGTACATGTTCATGTTGCCAATGCGCAGATTTAGCAGTTGGAAGAGCAAAGACTTCACTACTGCGAGCGAGGTCGCAGCAGTTGGAATATCCGGGGAGAGGGAACAGAACAATGTATCGTACTGCTGGCGGTTCATAGGCCGCTGCAGACGCTCAACGATGGATCCAGCAAGGGTGGTCTTACCAGCACCCGATTGGCCGGTGACCAAGAAGATGCGGTTTTGGCTGTGGAAAAATCTCGTCAAGTGCTTGTTGAACCACAAGCAAGTAAACTCCTGAAACGCATCAAGTAAGTGTTTGTTCTATATTGTAATGCGTCCTTGGACTTACTGCTTGATTGTCCACATATGTCTCATGATCTCTAGTAATTGCTGCAATCACCCGATCCTGAGAAGCCAGCCATCGGCTCAGATGCTGAACATCAATGGATTCTCCTTCTTCGAAAACTTCGTTTTCGATTTGGGATTGCCAGATGAGTTCAATCACAGTGTTCTGACGAGTGCGGAATGACTCGATCGTATCGCCAAACTGCTCGAAAATGTCTAGGCTAGTAGAGTTAGATGACATACCTAGGGTAGTTAGCAGATGTTCATGAGACGGTTTAAAGATAAAGCCACGTACCCTTGGCGGCGTAGTAGAACTGAATGCCAACATCGACTACGAGGCTGATAAGATCTGCGTAGAGAAGGCAGATCTGCTCGCGGATCTCAGGGCTCGCGGCCAACAGCTCGGAACGGTGCAAGACCGAGTGGAAGGACATGGCAAACTTGTAGAAGATTGAGAATGCCTTGTCCAGAGCTTCAGAGTTGTGGTGGCTGAGCTCAAGAAGAAGTTGTGCATGGCCATAACCAACAATGGCAGCAGAAGCACTGTTGTGAGCAAACGGCTGTATGGCCTGTTCGAACTTGTGAAGTTGCTCTGCAAAATAAAGGGCGCGAATCAGGACTCTGTCCCACCGGCTGCCCTTGTGTGGGAGTGTGGTCAGTCGCTCGGATCTGATCCACTCAAGAAAAGAGACATAAGTAACATCGCGGATGTTCTCATGCGCAACGCCCAGCGCCTTCTTGCTACGGTCAGTCAAAGCTGCCGCAGATTCTTGGACAAACAAATTTTGGTAGTTGCCAGTACTGCCAAGACGCTTCTTGGGGGATTTGATTGAGCCAAAGTTTCCGCTCGTGCCACGAGAAGAGGCAAAGGATGACAAACGTCCTTTGGCACGGAAGAGCGCCCCAGGCGACTCTGTTGGGGAGAGCACACTTGCTCCATTGGTTCCGTTCAACTTTCCGGAAGAAGCAGAGAGTCTGAGAGACATGATGCTAGGCCGAAGAGGTGGCGGTGTGCTATAGGTGATTGAGGATTGTGTTGAAAGATTAGAGGTCACCGAAAACCGGCGCGGCAGAGCAGGTTGCGTGCTTTCTAACGGAATAGGCTGCTGAGATGGTTGTGTAATAGATCTAGAGCCTGTAGCCGGGGTTGATGCAGGGCTAGTGTCAACAGACAATGACGGAACAATTACTGTTGGCTCTTGAAGTGGCAAGGGACTTTGTGGCCCTATTGCTGGCTTTCTTAGAGACTGTGATGAGGGTTGGGACTGCAGTGCTGGTGCAGTAGAGGTAGAATAGCTAATCTCGGGAGGAGATGGTAATGCCTTTGTTGATTGTGATCGGGATGGTGAGAGTCGAGTAGGAATTTGCAAAGGCGAAGTAGTGCCGGAGTCAATGGAGGAGATAGATGGACTATTTCTATCTCTATGCTCAGTGTTGTCGGGTGACTGTTGGGAGCGCTTCTTTTTCTGCTTTTCTTGCGGATGGATGTCAGAATCTATTGTTGAGGGGGCTCACACCAAGAAGTACTCACTGAATAGATGCAGCATGTGGATTGGAACACAGAAAGCTCAGTGTCCGGAGCGCAGGCAGTCTCTTTAAAACATGATGCTCTACAGCTAGCAGGTGGGGCACTTATGCTTGCATGGCATTGACCATCGGACCATAATCCCACATCGCAGCTACCGAAGCATTCCCAATGCATTATTCTTGGTTCACATGGCAGCTAGTTCAGCTAGTCCAGGAAGAAGGTATGTCCAGGGTACCCATTGTGGCTTGAGCTGATAATTCAGGTCGTCGATCCCTACATCAGGGTTGAAATAATAAGCTTGGCATTCCTTCTGTGCGTGATATACAGCATTGGCGCGTACAGATGGTCTCTATGCCAAACCCGCCTATCGTCTAGGTGTGGGGTGCGGCGCATGTTCCGTTGCAGGCTCAGCCCGGCAAAGCAACCAAACACGCAAGATGATAGGCAGGGTTACATATGTGGAGCCCGACAATTGTCGTGATACCATCAAGTGTGACAATGGCGTAAGTATGACCCTTGACTGTTCATATTAGATAGATGCACCAGACTATTGTTAGGATATAGCTGTCTGCAAAAACACTGGCTTGGTGGCTTCGAGATTGCCTCTTTATTGCTTACGTAGTCAAAAAACCAATGGCATGAAACACCAAATCCTGTAGAGAGGGTGTAGACGGTGTTTGGAGGCCTGCTAGTCTCGGAAGAGGTGTAAAAAATGCAGTGTACGTGGGTGTGCACTAGTGGCAAAGGCAGAGACACAGCATACTCTACACCTAAGAGTACATGGCCGTAGTCCAAGAGCGGCCAGGAGGCGTAATGTGCATCTGATTTGGAAAAAAACGAAGCCGACTGTCCAGGCTGTGGTTGGTGGATTGCGAATTGCAGCGCTCTGGCACTAGCGTAGATCAGGTTGTGATCGGTAACCACAAGCGGATCTGCGGGTCGAGGAACGGACCTCCCGCTGTGACGACTGGGATGGCCCTGACCGTCGCTTCATCGTTTTGTCGCCGACATGAGCCAGCCACGAGCGTGATCAGCAACCAGCATCATCGATGGGCAGCCGGCTAAGGCGTGAAATGGTCAAGCCCAGCAGTTGATCTCTCAAGCAATACCCGCCCTCCCAGTCCGCGGACGGCTCGCTTATCGATCCTCCGTACACCATGCCCTCACCCTGGGATTGCTTTCTTTGCAATGAAGCCATGTCGGAGACAGCGAACAGGAGAGTTTCCTAACTGGGGCGTGGACGGCGTACATGGCCGTATATGTACGGGATGCGCGACGGTCAGCTCGCCATTCGACGGCATGGTGCCGCAGCAGAAGGGAGGAGAGCTGAGGTTGCTTTTGCCGGCCTTCCATGGTACGTCATGCACTCTGTCCGCTCCATTGGCTGCAGATCCCAAGCCTCCACTCTTGTCTCCGCCTCCACTCTACTACATTTCTCACGCTGCCAAATGACTGCGCATAACACCTTGACTCTTTGAGGACAGCCTATCCTGCAGTATTCCTAATCGGGCGTCCCATCAACGCCATTTTCCATTTCCAGATCGTCATCCCGCGAGCACTATATGCTTTATCGAGCTGCTCGGCAAACCCGCCAGCCTCTAAGAGCACACAGCCATGGCGAACCATTGCCATGCTCCACTTGCCCCAGCATCATCTGAAACCTCAGTTATGGGTTGCTTTTCCCTTGTCGGCATCGACATACAGTACTGTTGTTCACTGTTTACTGTTCAACTTGCGTATTGCTTTTAAGGTCGGGCGCCAGCACAAAACATGATAGCCGACAACCTCAGTGCCATATTCACAAAGGTCTTTGTTTGACATGTGCTCCCATAGCTTTGGCACCTCGCCTCCCACGTGCTGTTGAGCAAAATGTGGCCTGTCCCCTTTAGCAGACAAGCTGTTGCTTATTGGGCGCAACGACATGACGCAGCACGGTTTGCAGTTCAACCCGTCATTTCGAGGCCATATCCCATCAGACCACTAGAAAAAATGACGCGTGGCTGTAATAGACCAAATGTGCAAGGCTGAGGCGCCGGAGGTGCACCAAGCGTGAATTTCTGCATCTCTTCAGCACACGCTAATAGAGGTGGAATCCGCCAAGTGCCACTCAGTCGGTTGCTTCTTCCGAGCCGCAAGCCGCACCAATATACATGGACAAGGGTGAAATTACTCCGTTCTGTCCAGCCCTCAAGACACCAAGTGCAAGGGTGCCGACCGTGCAGCATCTATGGAGATAGTAAAGCGGGGCGTGTCGTGGCATGCCTGCGATGATCTTGCTGTGGATGCTTCGGTAGCAGTCTGCCTGCAGCCATCAGTAAGCACCATCCCCCGCTTTATCGGCTCCTCCGTCTTCGTCCTTGCAGTACGCACATGCATCTGCATTCCATTCTCTTGAACCCAAGTGGAGCACTTAGCTAGCCGCACTGCTCCGGTTGTGTTTGAATCAGGGCTGGTCTGCTTGGGTAACTAGCCAGTCTAGCCCTGAACCTGAAATCCATTATGATGGCATCTTGCATTGGTCCACGACTATTTAGTATGCTGATAATAGTTTACTGACGCACTACAGAAACAATCAGAGTATATCCGAGGGAAGCGCATATGCAACTATGAAAGTGACAGTCGACGCTGGCATGGATGGGAATGACGTTTCCATGATCTGATTGCCTCGCATTAGCCTATCCATATTTTGCTTACTTGTGGTGTAACTTAATACGTACGTGTTACACACATTTACCTGGTAATCTTAGGGACTCGCTACATGAAAAGTTGCAAACTGACCCCTGCACCTACTATTCTCTACTACTGCACTCGACCATCTTCTATGCCACTGATCAATCTGTTCCCCAAGCTTCCGATAGGGCTGGGATACTCTGTCGACAAGACGAATGGGTGTTGAGATTGATTGCTACGTGGTCGTCGTTTGCCGGTGACACGTCACGTGCACGGAGGCATGCAGACTTTGGTACCGTACCTAGAAGTTGGTTTCTTTTCTTGCCTACTACACATACCATGCCTGTCTACAGGGACGCGGGGAGGGCTGGCTTGTGTTTGCACGAAATAGCATGGGTTCCCTATATCTGCCATACACATGTCAGACTCCAAAGACATGGAGGGCCTTGATACTTGGGTACTGTCATGCTCGAAGCCAGAAGGTAGAGTATCGAGAAGAGAGAGAGACTGTGTGTTGTTGAGTCTAGGGCAGTTCACGGGCCTCGGGTGTCGGCTCCCCAGCATGTCCAGCCTGGCTTGCAACGAGTGAATTGTCGCCGTGATGATGGCATTAGAAGAGTCAGATAGAGGGGCGTGGCTGACCGTTGCCGTCAGCCAGGTCGAGAACAAGAGGCTCACTACCCCGCGTCTCGATAGACGGGCGCCCGCCCGCCCCGCATTCCCTACACAGGCGCGGCCAATCACGGCTTTCAGATTGCTTAGGCGCAAGCAGATAGGAAATCGGAAGCCTTCCGATAACGCACTTTCCATGGCTTCGGAAGGGCGTGTTATGTAGTTCCGAGGTTACTTGCTCGCAGTTGCTGGCAAGGCGCTGGCTCACCATCCTACGATTGCCTTGTTTCTACTTTCTACTATCTGCCACTCCATTGTGCCTTGCCGCTATCTTTGCATATTCACTCTCCTCCACGGCCGTCTATCCTTCTCTTTCGTCCGAGTCTCACTACATAGTTTTCTGCGTCCACACTCATCATGTCTCCACCGTCCGCGACTGAACCCCAGGCGCCCGAACAAAAACCCAGCACGGCTGTGCCCCTGGAGCCTGGCCTGAGCGAAAAACAGGCCAAGGGAATGCAGCTCAATTTCCCAGGACCACCCAAGTTCGATGACCCACTCAAGGAGCGCGCATACCTAAAGGGCCGCCTCGCTGCTGCATTCCGCATCTTTGGCAAATATGGCTTTGACGAGGGTGTGGCTGGCCACATCACTTTGAGAGTTGGTTCCTGAATCTGACAATAGTACACATGGATGGTTGCTAATGCGACCAAGGATCCCGTAGACCCCACAACCTTCTGGGTCAATCCATTCGGAGTGGCTTTCAGTTTAATGAAAGCGTCAGACCTGATTCTTGTCGATGCAAACGGCAAAGTCATTGACGGAGGAGAGTGCCGTCTCCTGAATACGGCGGCATACATGATCCACCATGCTGTCCACACGGCCCGCCCAGACGTCGTGGCCGCAGCACATTCTCATTCCATCTACGGCCGTGCCTTTTGCGCACTTGGTCGCAAGCTCGATACCATAACACAGGATTCTTGCGCCTTTCACGACGACCACGTGCTCTACGAGTCTTTCAACGGAGTCGTGCTTGCTGCCGAGGAGGGCAAAAACATTGCCAAGTGCCTCGGCGACAAAAAGGCTGCCTTATTGCAGAACCATGGTTTGTTGACGGTTGGCCAGACTATCGAGGAGGCCGTCTTCTGGTTCGTGAGCATGGAAAAGTGCTGCCAGGCGCAGCTGATGGCGGATGCGGCGGCAGCGGGCCGAGGAAGCCAGACGGTCAAGATCAACGACGAAGACGCTGTTTACACACACAAGACGGTCGGAACTCCACGGGCCGGTTGGTTTAGTGCAAAGCCATTGTTTGATGTCATTCACAAAGAGACGAACGGAGAGTACTTGGAGTAAAGGTAGAAGCACCCTCAGTTGCAGTAGCAGTAGTACATAAAGTGTTTTTTAACTATATACCAGAATACTTTGATACATACTGTAAGATCCTCCCGGGTTGTATTGCATAGCATTGACTTGATTAATTTGTCGAACTGCTCGTTGGAGAAGTTGTGCTACAAGAAGTAATGTACCTGGAAGCTCTGTTTGTCTTCCCATATCTTCTCGCTTGCCTTGGTACCAGTACACCATATCTCTCTACGCTACATATCGATATATCAGCCGCTACCACAGTCACTACCCAAATCGCTACCCTCGCCGTCAGTCTTGTCCTCGTCCTCGATGCCAGAAATTCCGTTTTTCTACGTGTATTCCTTCAACGGGTAGTTTTTTTCGTTTATGATTGGCGCACCATCACCCTCACAATCAGTGTCCTCGATGACTTCGTCAAACTCGGGTGCCTCACCACCACATTGTTTAAGACTATCGTGCTCAAGGACGTACTTCTTATCTTCCTCTTCTATTTCTTCAAGTGAGAGCTGCCCTGTAGACAGAGTCGTTAGCAAATATGAAATGCGGAGAGAGTAAACCTTTGCTCGGTCGCCATCTTACCGTATCGAAAATGCTCATCGGGGACCCAGAGCAGGTCAGCGTCTACAGGCCGAGGACCTCGACCCGTTGCGATTTGCAGTAACTCCCGAGCAAGGTGGAGCAGCTTTCCTGCCATGTCTTTCGGTTGTGTCTCGATGATAGATTGCATTGCTCAAATACATTTCTTAGCACGTGGATCGAGCTCAAGCTGGGGTTTCGGTTCGGTGGACCGCGATATAGTTGACGCCAAGAGAGAAAATTTGTCAACTCTTTTGATCAAGTTGTCCATCAGAATTTGTCGGAAGGAGACTCACCCTTTCTGGTTGAGGTATACAGTTTTGACAGCATTGCTGAGCTGTTGAACATCTTCTGAATTGAAAATCCCGAATCCCATGACTTCTGACCCTTCGTGTCTCCCTCTGCGAGTGTTAAATTGGGCATTTGGTTGGTAGAAGGGATGGAGAGGAGGGAGGCTCACGATAGGCAGAAGCTACCTTCACCTTGCAAACGAAGAAAAATTGGGGCAGTATACCCGATAGCCCTATCAGCCTGTTCGCTCATCTTCTAAAACTTCTTTTCCTTTTCCAATACATCCCCTTTGTCGCATATTGACTGCCGCGACACCATGGCCCCGACACGCACTGCGAGAACCCCAGGCTCAGCAGAAGCCCAACTCCAAGATGTTGCCTTTGCCACTCGCGGGCATACTCTCCGCTTCAACTGGCCCGGCAGACAACCAAGTCAGATAATTGCCGCGCATGAAAAGTCGTCCTCCACGCCATACAAGAAAGTGGTCAATGACACTAAGCAGGACGATAGAGAGATGCTCTTTCGTCAATCCTTCAACTTGACCGAACAAGAACTAGCCGAGGACCTCGATCCAGGCCAAATTCTGGTCGTGTTGGTAGGCATAACATTGACCAAAGATCTCTTAGCGCCAAAAGGCAAACAAGTCAACAGGAGCAAACGGCCAGGAGTGGTAGGGACTAAGCTGCCTATCGAGCGTAGTCTTATCTTCGATCTCCCGGAAAGATATACTGGAAGCAAGGTCCTCGAAAGCGGCGACGAACTAAAGGAGGACGACTCCAAAGAAATAGACGACGACACGACCGCGTTGCTGGTAGCAACGCCGTGCTTTGACGACCCTCAGGACAGACAGACCAGGATGTATGTCCTCTTGAAGCCAGAAAACGACATCTGTAGTCTGTATAGCGCCCCCGAAATTAAAGTATTCTAGTTTCCCGAGTTCCGCTGCCCAGTCAAGGCTAGTGAAGAACAGCAACGCGAATGGAATACCCTTGTCAAGCGTATCTCTATCAAAAACAACATGACTGCCCAGCCTAAGTCGACCGCGTACGACGCCGTTCGAGACACGTCGATTGTCATGGTCGATCCTGCCGTAGGATTTGCTCGCAATGTCGTTGGGCTTGCGGCCGCTTATGCAGCGAAACAAGATGCTTGGATCTTGGACCAGCTCATGAAGCAGCTCGACGAGGTCTTACCATAACTTCAAGAGGCTGGACAGAGCTACCCGCACATCAAGGCGCTCATGAAGCAAGACTTGGTTGTCGCTGAAACCTCGGCCCACGCATTATACGATACAAGCGACGGAGGCAACACAGACACATTCATGTGGTTAGCCGATACCGCGCTGGTCGAGCTTCGTAAACGGTGGCCCGGTAGCACCAAGGACATCACTATAGCGTGCCTCGAGGTTATTCGCGAGCGCCTCGCTACAATTGAAGACGACTTATCTATTGCACCAGACGAGATAGAGCCGTTCCTCGTTCTAAGCTCCCACTTGCTTCCATCTTTCACAAACCCAGAAGATCCGAACGAACCTCTCGCTAAAGATGAAGCGAAGCATTTCGTTGCGGAGAGTCTGAGATTGTTGCGTGTTGCACGCCGCAATGTAGTCGACGGGCTGGGGAGGACCTCGATCCAGCAGGGTTCTTTCCCCGCGCTCCTTCAAGCCACAATCGATGCCCTTAAAATCTTCTGCGACGGCAACATTGCTCACGGCAAGGCGTTGAGAAACTAGCTTGGCAATGATATGGTCTCAGAATCACCATCCCGGCTGTGGCAGCCATATGGAGATACTACTGATACAGATGCTGCGCGAAGACTTTATGACTCGTGGTGCAGGTTTTGTAACACACTATTATGCCGAGACTGTCGATTTGATGACTTCTCGGCTACAGCATATCATTGAAACACTGGAGATGGCTATGGGCAAGAAAAAAAATCGAGGACGACGGCAAGGGCAAGGGAAAGGATGGCAAAGGCAAAGGTGATAAATGCGGCAAGGACAAGGGTGACAAATCTGGTAAGGGCAAGGGCAGCAAGTAGGTCATACCTGTGTGCGTGTGCGTGTGTGTGTGTGTGTGTGTGTGTGTGTGTGTGTGTGTGTGTGTGTAGTAGGTAGTCTAGTGGCTCGTCTCTACCGAAACAAAATCGGATTGATCCTTCTACAGTCAAAATCTATGGGGTTGACCCTTCTACAATCAAAATCCACCACCGTATGATTACGCAGTACGGCGTGGCTTTCTTTCAGTTTGATGAAGGCATCGGACTAGGCGAGAGGTTGGTGCAGTCATGTGCCCAAAAGCTCATTCTAGGCCCCGCCCCGCCCGCCTGCGCCGCTTGTCAACTCGGCCAACTGCTGGACCCTGGGCCGCAACATCATCACTTCAAGAATTGCCGTTGCTGCCGTTACTACGCTACTGCTGTGCTAACCTTCTAATTGTCTGCCTCGTCCTGGAGTTTTCTTGGCATCATGGCAGGTCCCTCAGTGGTCATTGTCGCCAGGTACCGCCTCAACCGTATTCACGGCTCCACATTCCGAGCCTGTAGCTAACATCCTTCACAGGCACGGCGCCCGGCTGGATGCTGCTGACAAGTCATGGCATCTCACCTCGCCTGCACCCTACGACCCCCCACTTACATATGGCGGCTGGTCGCAAGCAAAAGCACTTGGCCAGCGCATAGCTGCATTGCTTATTGAGAGAGACAGCCAGCAGGCAGAAGCAGCGAAGACTTCTCCTAGCCACGATCCCTCGCAGCTCGACTTGGGCAAGCTGACCATCTCGCAAGATGGGCAGGCGCAGGGAAGCGGTGCCCAACGACCGAAGAAGAAGAAGCGAAAGATTATCATCCATTCGAGCCCGTTTCTAAGATGCGTCCAAACAAGTACTGCAGTGGCAGCGGGAATCTCGCAGGTTCAGGCATCAACCACACCAGAACTCAGCATACCGACGCCATCCAAGGAAAAGAATAGCACATTGGGGAGCTCTTCGTCGAAAGCGCCACGTACCAAATCGACATCATCGCAACCTCGAACCTTTGAACCGCTCGCCGACCCCAACCTCGAGATCCTACCCAAACCTCATACCGGACCTGAGAGAATTCTGCTACGTATCGATGCCTTCTTGGGCGAGTGGCTGTCTCCCGAGTATTATGCAGACATCACAGCGCCTCCCAACTCGACCATGATGGTAGCTGGTGCAAAGGCGGATCTGCTGCGGCGAGGCGATTACATTCAAGAACAACCCAACCCAAACAGCAGTAGGGGTCATTTTCCAGGCGGCTGGACAGGGAACAAGGCTGCGCCCAATACCACACAGGGTGCAAGAATGGGCAGTTTGGCACAGGCTCTGCCCTTGCGCGAACGGTCAAGCAGCTACACTGGTCCGTTGGCTCTACCGGGCGCCGTTCCAAGAGAAGCCGTCTCGGCGCTCGTGGCGCCTACGCCTACGCCTACACCTACACCAGGTCCTACTAGTACATCAGGTCGTGTATACCAGCCCCCGCACCCGTCTTACTCGGTTTCCCCGGCTGATCCTATACCGCGCGGGTACGTTGCTCACGCGCAGGAGGCTTGTGTGCAAGTCGACTTCCAATGGGACAGTATGCGCGAACCTCAAAACTGGGGCGATGGTGGACAGTTTGGTGACGAGTGGAGCACAATGCACAAGCGCTTTAGAAGAGGTCTTGCGGGTATGTTGCAATGGTATAGGACACATGGCACTGCACCTCCCAAGAACCAAATCCCAGGTTTCATGTTCCGAGAGCCGCTTCGTCTGACGCCGCCACGCAAGCCGCAAACTAAGTCAGATCCCTTTCCAAATTTTAGCGATGGCTCAACCGGGCCCGATGGGGATGAGGAGGTTGTGCTAATTCTAGTAACCCATGGAGCTGGTTGCAACGCTCTCCTGGGAGCCATGACTAACCAGCCTGTACTCATGGACATTGGCCTCGCTTCTCTTTCAATGGCGGTCCGGAGAGACAAGCCCAGGGAAACACCAGCACCATCGACTTTGCACGAGAGGCGACTGTCGGTTGCAGATCCTGGTATGCCAGATACTTACGAGGTGAAGCTCTCAGCTTCAATCGACCATCTGCGGCCTGGCGTTGATCCTTCCAAGCCGCCTTCGGCACAAGCGCAAGCACAAGCACAGTCACCGGTTGTGTTGCCCAGTCCATTGCTAGACCATCGTCGCCGATTTACGGGATCCTCGACTGCCAGTACTCCTTCCGAGACACCGTTCTCAATTGGTGAACCCTACAGGACCCGGAACAGCTCCATGAGCAGCATGCGTCGGACCATGAGCTCGGGATCGAACTCGAGATTCATCCAGAGTGCAACGAGTGGGGCTGCATCTCCTGCAGGAGGCCTGTGGTCAGGAGCGAGCACGCCTGCTGTAGAGGCAGAAACGAGTCTCCATTCTGCACATCAACAAGTACGGTCGAAGCCCACTGGCGTTATGAGTGCCGGGGCGTCTTATAGTGAACAGGACGTGAAGTCTATTCCACAAGCAGACGGTTCGTCTGATTCAACTAACCGTCTTACCAAGTTGGACTCAAAGGAAGAAAGGGAGGTGGGCGACAAATCGACTCCGCTGGTCAGCGCCGCCACTCGGAAACAGAGTGCGGTGAGTGCAACAGGTCTTTGGGGCGCAAAGGCGGCATCTAAGCCCAGCCATGGGCTCTGGGGTCCACCGAAACTTGACGACGTGTATGAGCATAGGCAGGGACCCAAGAGGAGGTGGACAATGACAGAGAGAGAGGACGATGGATAGAGATGGGATTTTGTAATTGCTGCTTTGGACAAGGGCGAGAGCGCATCATGTTCCTTGAAAGCTTAGATAGCAGGGGCAGAGGCTGGCATTAGAGGCTTGGGTATAGATGTATACATATACATATACATTTGTGGTACATATGTGCATGTCCAACTACGTGCGTATGTTAATGAGACAAGCAGTGTGCATTAATGCCAATCTTGGCCACCCGATGGGTGTGTGGTCTTGTAGGCTTTGATTGGGTGATTGGCCATGTAGTCCCCCCCCCCCGCCACGGGCCCTCGGGGGTGACGCAAGCGCGTCTTACGGGATCATCAGCAGCTGCTGCAGGAGATGCAGAGTTGCAGTGCCTTGAAAGACGATAGCCGCCGGGAGTCGCACGTGCCGTATCCGACGGTGATGCATATCTACATTACATATGATGTGTAGATGCGCATACTACACAGCCTTTCCCAACTTCCACGACTCCCCCCCAACGCACAGCCCGCCAACACCAGCCATTCGCGACAACCGCGCTCGCCGCGACAAGCAGCCCCAGCCAACCCATCGAGCTCACCAACCCCACCGTTCATCTCCACACCAGCCGCTAGACAGATCACTCGCATCCACGCAGGAGCCACAGCTCGACTTTTGATAGGAGGCGGTTGTCGGGCCGAAAGACGTCCGGGCGGGCGCAGGCACTATTAGTGCACTCCCGCACGCAGGAAGGCTTGCATTGGCACTGCTGGGTGTGGGCGAACTATTCACGCTTTCCGTGAACAAGTTTGCAGCAACAAGTCTCGACCATGTCTGTCAAGTCAGTACGCCTTTCTCTTCTCTCTCCTCCTTTCCGCTCTCTCTGTCATCATCGTCATCATCATCGTCATCATCATCGTCGTCGTCGTTGTTACTGCTGCCCTTTCTGCGCGGTGTTGCTGCTGCCTGCCCCTCTTCCCCCACGGCTTTCCCTGCACCAGCCTAGGACAGCGTACACCTGGGGCACAAGAACACACCCTAGCACTGTAGCACTGCGCCATGGGCTTTAGGTCCGAGAAAATGACCAGCAAGACAAAGTCTAACCGCAAGTCTAGCTGGGTGATGCTCGCTGAGAATGGCGGCTACACACCTCTCCCCGGCGAGCAGACGCTGTACCAGTCTCCTCCTCGAACTACGCTCTCATTGCAGACCAGCCACCGACACCCTCCGAGCGAGTCTTACTCGCAACAATGCAAGTCGGGCGTCGTCTTCCTTACCAACCGACGAGTACGATACATCCATCCCCCCTTGCCAGGCAAACATGGCCTGACCCACCCCATCGTGGAGCTAACTTGCATCGTAGATGATCTATCTGCCCGTGAACCCAACACCACAGTTGCAGTCTTTCGCCGTTCCCATTCTCAATGTAACCGACTCGCGCGTAACAGCACCATGGTTCGGCGCAAACAAATGGGAAGCCATCATCCAGCCTGTCCAAGGCGGCGGCATACCTCCACAGCATTCTGAGCTCGACCTCGTCCTGGAATTCAAAGAGGGCGGTGCATTCGATTTCGCAAGCATATTCGAGCGACTGAAAGAGCGGTTACGGCAGGCTATCGAGATAGCGCGGGAGAGCGGTGGCGATGTGCAGGATGGGACCAGAGGTGTTGGTGGTGTGAATATGAACAACGTGCATCTCGACGATCTACCGGCCTACGAAGAGAGCCGACAGCACGCTAGAGTACCCGACCCGTTACCTAGCCCACCAATGGATAATGCTGCAGTCGGAAGTATGAGTGGTGTTGGCGGTTCCGTCGTTGCGGCGCCCGAACCCTCAAGCCCACCAGCATCGAGCTCGTTGTCGAGCCCACGGACGCAGCAAGAGCACTTTGAACCACCATCGGATCCACCGCCAGGTTACGAGGAGGTGCAGAGGAGTAGTGTTGTAGATGAGCTGGAGAGACAGGTCAGGGACAATCCGTGGCAGGATGCGGATAGTAAGCGATGAAGTCGGGTGCTCTTTAGTGTGCCAAGAAATTGTTGTGTTTGAGCAGGGCGTTCCGGGGTGAGAGCAGCTTCAAATGGCTGCAACGAAATATCACGAACTTACATGTATCACTTTACTTGGCTTGAATTAGATTCGAGAATGGCAGGCATAGTTAGGCCTGGCAGTTGGCTTGAAATCTGACAATATGTCTTTTCTTGGGGGCTGCGCTGAAAGGTGGTGTTTCTAACCATAAATCTCATCTGCATCAGCAACATCACATTAAACATCCGAGAACGTTACAAATCCGAGCACATGGCAAGCAACACTGCACTGACTGACATGTGAAGCGTGTTCTGACCGCCCATCCCTCCGACACTCTCCCAAAGCATGTGAAAACTACCTTCCCCGGAAGGCATGACGACCCCCGCAAATACACTAACCCAAAGCAGTACTTACCTCGGCGAATGCGAGGCGAATGACCTAATTGCATTGAGCCGAACGCGAGAAGACTATACACCAGCTTCTCTCTCTCTCTCTCGTCTGTTCTCTACTCACCTCCCTTCTCTTACCCTCTTCTCCTTCTACCACCTCCTAACTCATCTCTCGTCTTCATATCGTCTTCAAGCGTCAACATGGCAAACCAAGCCCCCAACAAAGGTATGCTTCGGTGCACAAAAACATGATTTTGACACAGTATACTGACGGCGCTGCTGTATAGTACAAGAGCGCCTTACGCAGGTCGAGGGCCATCTCCTCGGTGGTTCTACAAGCTCTAGCGCATCGGGATCCAAGGGAAGGAAGAACATCCTTGAGAAGAGGCCTGATGATGTGAGTGTTACACCAGGTTTCAGCGTGACGAGGCAAGCGCCTCTTTCAGAATCTGCATACTGACGATATGCTTGACAGGTTGTTGTAACCTGCGCGCTCCGCACAGCCTTCACAAAGGGCGGAAAGGGAGGCTTCAAAGATACACAAGCAGCTGACCTTCTCCACGGCGCTTACAAAGCCATCATCGAGCGATCAGGTATTGACCCTAAGCTCGTCGAGGACATCGCTGTCGGTGCTGTCCTCGCCCCAGGTGGTGGCGCAACAGAGTTCCGCGCTGCTGCTCTTGCTGCTGGCTTCCCTACCACGACCGCAGTCAAGAGCTTGAACAGGCAATGTTCCTCTGGTCTCCAGGCATGCGTCGACATCGCCAACGCAATCAAGTCAGGCATGATTGAAGTCGGTATTGGCGCAGGCGCAGAGAGCATGAGCACACAATACGGACCTGGCGCCGTCACAGAGTTTTCCGAGCTCCTCGAGAACCACAAGGAAGCTGCAAACTGCAAGGTACCTATGGGCGTGCTGTCGGAGCAAATGGCAAAGGCCAAGGGTATTGCGCGAGCCGAACAAGACGCTTTTGCCGCGTCGTCGTTCCAAAAGGCCGTCGAGGCCCAAAAGCAGGGTCTCTTTGACGAGGAAATCGCACCCTTGACGGTCAAGTGGACAAACCCTAAGACCGATAAGGAAGAGACCATTACCGTCAGCAAGGATGATGGCGTCAGGCAAGGCATCACCTCCGAATCTCTTAGCAAGATTCGCCCTGCCTTTGCCAAGGACGGCTCCATCCACGCTGGTAACGCGTCCCAAATCTCTGACGGTGCAGCCGCCGTGCTCCTGATGAAGCGCAGCACAGCAGAGCGCCTCGGCCAGAAGATCATTGGCAAGTTTGTCCAGGCCTCCATTGTCGGCGTACCTCCGCTACTGATGGGTGTCGGCCCTGCTGCCGCTATCCCCGTTGTGCTCGAGAAGACGGGTCTGAACAAGAACGAAGTCGACATCTACGAGATCAACGAGGCGTTCGCCAGCCAGTGCCTCTACTGCATCAACGAGCTTGGTCTCGACATGAAGAAGATCAACCCCAAGGGCGGTGCCATTGCCTTTGGCCACCCTCTCGGTGTCACTGGTGCCAGGCAAGTCAGCACTCTGCTGACGGAGCTGAGGCGAACAAAGCAACAAATCGGTGTTACCAGCATGTGCATTGGTACCGGTATGGGTATGGCCGCTGTCTGGGTTGCCGAGTAAGAAGAAGAAGAAGAAGAAGAAGAAGAAGAAGAAGAAGAAGAAGAAGAAGAAACGTCAAAGTAACTTAGACGAGAGTATCTTGTACGATCTGTTCCATGCTTCGTTAGATGTATGTATGTATATGCGAATCATATGCTTTTTGTTCTTTTTCTTTGAAATTTTACTTTACTTTCTTGAAAATCAAAAATTGAATATGAAATATGAATATGTAGCATTTTTGCTTGTGATGCGTAAATAAATAAGTAAATATGTACAAGAAAGTATGGTGAATAAATATGGACTTGCGTGGTTTGCTTCCTAAGAAGAAGAAAGAAAAAAGGCGGAATAGCAAGTGATGGTTTTGGAGAGACTGCATATGCGCGCCTCAGGCACAATTTCTTGTGCTGTTTACTGCCCTTGTGCAGATTTTATTTCCTCCTCTTTCTTCATTCTCTTCTTCTCTTTTTCCTTCCATGTCACGTCACAACCTCGGCACCGGATTATTCCCATCTTTCTCTTTCTTTCTCGTCTTCCTCTCTGCGTGTCATCTTTGCTGCGTTCTTCCTCTCTAGCCTATGCTTGAACTCCTAGCATATCTGGTCGTACTCTACGTCTTCCCCAGCGTGTCCATGTGCATATGTGCAAATGTATTTGAATCGTTCATCCCAAGCTCATGCAATTATTCATCCCCCATCGATATTATACTGGTACGGCAGCTCGCCCTCACCGGGATTCAAATTCAATCGTATAACACTGCCCTGGGAACCCAGCGAGCTCTCGCTGGAATTCGGAAAAATGGTGCTCGGGCTCCGTTGCGAGCGAGCGTGAATGACCACGGATCCCGTTTCAGATTCTGAGCCGGCGAACGATCGCTGCGAGGGCGTGCCGTAGATGGTGGAACCGCGCTCGTGCTGGCGTGAGGGTGCGGTGCGGGCAGTTTGTGGAGAGTGCGATGTTGAGGCGTCGCTACTTGATGTGGACAGGAAGCTGTTGAGAGACGACAGGGTAGATTTGCGGTCGAGTTGCGGTGTGCGGTAGGGCATGTGTGAGTGCGAGGAGATGGTTGAGTCCAAGCTGGATTCCGTAGGCGCAAGACTGCGTGTGTCTGATTCCACATCCAATGCACGCGCTTCTTCGATAACGGCCGGGTCCACCTCTTTCATGCCGTTTAGTACTTCTGCAAATATGGCCATGAGATCGCGGAATTGTGTTTCGGTTAGGCTGGCTGTGGAGAAGCGCGCATACTCGTACTGTGAAAGGAATGCAGGGCCGAGCGAGGGTGGGTTAAGCAGTCCGAATTCTGCGAGTCGAGACAGGTATTCGCGCAAACCCATTGCGCGCGGGCGCTGGAGCAGGGTGACGATTCGAGCATCTGGTAGAGGCGGTGCATTGTCCGGGTATTGCTGGGCGCTTTCTTCAAGCGCAGGGTCAGGCGGCGCAAGTGAGACGGCCTTTGCTTCGATGAGATTGGGAAGCTCGCAGACAACGCTCCAATACTGCAGGTTAGGCAGGTCCGGTGAAGAGGGAGAGGCCCAACCAGGATGGGAAATATGTCCCCAAGGCGGCGACTTTGGCGAGACGGGTATGATGGTCGCATCGGCCGCATGGTGGTGATGGCCTTTCTTTTTGTGTGACTTTTCTTTATCCTTCTTACTCTCAGCCGTTCCTGCACGCGAAAGCTGTCCTTTCTCTTCATCTCCATCCTCGACCTCACCCCTAAGGTCCCTCGGCCTGCTGTCCCATGCAACAACGGCACTTCTCTTGAAATGCTTTACTATCATCCTCCTCACACCCTTGCCCACTTCTCCCTCCTCGACCGGCACATAGCTCTTCGGTATCGCAGCAAGCACGGTTCTATTCGTGTAGATGCGCGTCGAGTATATCAACAACACAATCAGACTCGTGAGCACATAGACTCCACCAATGACGAACAGCTTCTGGATCTCGTTGGATTTGATCGACTGGTATATCGTGTCGGAAGGGGTGACGGCGAGGAACAGGAGCAGGATGATGAGAAGCGCCGTGTACGTGGTCGAGTACCAGATGCGGAAGAGAGGGATGCGCATGACTGCGGCTGCGATGGGAAAGGCGGCAGTACTGGTAGGGCCTAAGGAAGGAATGCATCGGTATAAGAAAAATTACATATTAGAGCTACAGGAAAAGTGGCGGCTACATCACTACGCGGTAAAGAGTGAGGGCGTGAGTGTGAAGCAACAACATGGCTTGCTGTGATTGTCGAAAGGAGGAAGGCGCCAAGATACTGACGCACACGGCTGCATGCAGACCCGCACGACCCAACAGTTCCCTCGTTTCCCACAATCCCACCGTCCAAGGTGCAAGAATATAAAATTCCTCCAGGAGCCTTGTATATCAGGGGAAGACACTTCCAGGACTCTTCACGCACTTCTCTTGTTTTCATCTGCATGCTTCACATGCCTACCTACCCCTTCCAAGGCACCATCCCGTTCCATCATCCTGGCATTATGTCTCCAGGCTCTACACACTTCCATATGAATAGTCATGGAATTACTAAGGACTCACACAGCAGAAAATATGTTGCCAGACATGTTTCGAAACTAAAGAGTTTCGAACTCTACTTGAACTTCAATCAGGGGCACCACTGATACACGCAACGATGCAAAAAGTTTCCATAACTGCTCTCAAATAGCAACTGCATCATTGAAACATAAATTGTTCCGGACGCACCACCATCTTGGTGGTTTTATTTCCTCGCGTTTCCCTCAGGATTCTCTTCATCGTTCCTGGAAAACTCTCAATCATCATGCATAATCGCAAAGGCTCCCTCACTTTCGGCCTGTCGCCAGCCAGGTCACGAACCGGTACACGGTGGTCAGGTCTTCTCATATTTATCGCTCTCACCTTTCTCCTTTTCTACAAGTCAAACCATTCTTTCTGGTTTCTTTCTTCTCCGCCATACGAACACTCCTGTTCTACCCACCTTTCAAACCCTTCTATATTAACCTCGTCAAAGCATAGCTTCTACAGGACTACCATCCAAAACCATCCCGTAGATACCCTTGCACAGCTACCATTGCCAGAAAGTGGCCGTTCACCAAGAATACAACATAAATTCATCACTGATGCATCCTCATATCGAGAGACAGTTGTGCGCTCGCGTCGTCACGCTGCAGTCAGAGCAACATTCAAAAAATACTGGAGTGCAGAAAAAGATGCAGCAATGGATGCAGCAATGGCTGGGGATTCGCGGCCGGTGATGACAGAACAGACCACTATTCTCATCGAAAGCCTCGAAAATTTTTGGATTATGGGACTGACGGAGGAGTTCCAAGAAGCCGTCGCGTCCATGGTGGAAATAAATTTCGAACCACACGACCAGGTAACTAGCTTACTACAAACGACACGACTACTGTACGCCCTACTCTCAGCATACGACCTTCAAAAATGCCGCGATATTCATCTTCTGGATAAAGCTCTCGAGTTGGGCGACATGCTCTATACCTTCTTCGACACTTCAAGCCGCTTACCTATCATATCCTGGAATGCAACAAAAGTCGCCGATGGCGTGGAACAAGAATTGTCGGGAAATGCCACACTGGCAGAACTCACGACCTACAATCTAGCATTTGTCAGACTGTCGCAGCTCACGGGCGACATACGATTCTACGATGCTGTAACGCGTGTCATCAATATCCTCAAATCACAGCAAAGCAGCACCAAAATCCCCGGTCTCTGGCCCGCCGAAGTCAACTTGCAAACCCTCGACCTAACTTCTGATAACACCTTCAATGTAGATGCGGCATCGGGTCCTGCATACGCACAACACACTCTGATGACCCGTCTCCTCGCCATCGCGCCCACTGTATCGCCCTATACCAGCATGTCCACAAGCGCCCTTGACGCCATCATCCAACACATCCTCTTCCGCCCCGTAACCCCTACGAACGAATCCATCATGATGGCCAGCCCCGCATACACCTCTCAAAGATATCACATAACCCTCACCCACAATCTCGATATTTCGTCATGCACTCTCGGCAGCACGCTCGCCTTGTCAGCGGCACTCACTCGCAACGATACCCATCTCACGTACGCGCGTCTTTTGACCGAAGGCTGCATATGGACAACCCTGCACGCCCCTCCCTCCTTCAATGGCAACATCATGCCAAGGAACTTCTCGATGCTAGCCTGTTCATCGTCGAAGCTGAGCAACAGTGACGAAGACTGCTCGTTTGACCCCAGCGTGTGGCCGGAACAAGAGTACCCTGGGTTCGAGAAGATATGGGATAAAAAGGGGCCAAGCGTTAGGCCAGAAGTGGTGATGAGTCTGTTTGCTCTGTACCGGGTTACGGGAGAAGAGAGGTGGATGGAGGTTGGGTGGCAGATGTGGGAGGGTGTGGAGCGAGTTATGGAAGAGAAGATCGAGCAAGCGCTTAATGGCGACACTGAAAGAGATGATGAAGAGTTCAGGATGACGATGCAGACACTCAAATACTTCTACTTGCTGTTCAGCAAGCCCGACATGTTGAGCTTGGACGAGTGGGTATTTGCAAGCGATGGGGGTATCTTATGGGCAGGCAGTGTATGAGACATGAAATGAAGGAAAGCATCACAAGCCTAGCAGGGCCATGAGATATTATCATATCGTAATGACATTAATGCCTAACTTGTCTCAAGGCCAAGAGTCATATACACATACACAATGGATATTGAGCATCCATCACCAAGGAGCCCTGGCATCCTATCGGCAACCAAAGAGGGCCCTCCTCAGCGCGAACTTTTACGGTCGCACTCATCAACGCGTCCTCGCGTTCCATCATCTGTCCAATAAAGCAATCTCGGTATCGTCCCCACACGCGCCTCCCGCCAACGCAATCGTACCCATCAAAAAAAGAGAAGAGAAGAAAAGCCTTCAGTAACCGGATTACCAAAAGATGAAGGCTGCCCATGTACAGATGTCTAATCGTGACTGGGGATATATGTTATAGAGTTTTGGAAAGTTTGAGAGGAAGGAAAAGAAGCCCACCTTAAAACACCATGCAATGCCGCAAAAAAAAGACAAGGTTGAAGAGAATACTCAAGTCATAGCCATGTCACCTGGAGCCAGGTGGTTGTTCAAGGCTGATTGAGGAAAAGATTGTGGATAGAATTGCTCAAGACTTGCGGAAGTCCGACAAGACTGGGTAGATGAGCTCAAACGCCTGGTAGATCTCCTCACGGACCTTTGCTCCGGTGAGGACGATCTTGCCAGAGACGAAGATGAGAAGAACAATCCTAGGCTTCATCATACGGTAGATGAGACCAGGGAACAGTTCAGGCTCGTAGGACGAGAAAGTGTGATGGCGCGAGGCAAGACCCTCGAGACGGATGGGGAAGCGGATATCGCAAGAGCCGACAATGTTCTGGATCTTAAAGTCCTGTTGTCAAGTTAGCGTGGCGCTGAAACATGGTTAGCGCGGCAAGACGTACGGTGAACTTGGCACTGAACCCCAGCTTCTGGATGATCCGCGCATATTTGCGGGAAGCAAGACGGCTATCATCTTCAGACTTGGCACCAGTGACGACCATCTTTCCACTCGCAAAGACCAGAGCCGTTGTCTTTGGCTCACGAATACGCATGATGACGGCAGCAAAACGCTTGGGATTGTACTCGGCGTTGCGGGCGTGAAGAGCAATGGTCTTGAGGTCAAGGCGAGCGGAGAGGTTGACGGTAGCGACAATATTCTGAAGAGTAGGCACGATACCAGAGGGCACTTGACCATTCTGGGTATCGGGTGTAGCCGCGGGAGTAGCAACACCGTTCGCGTTTTCAGCGACCTGTTGAGTGTTGTGCTCAGTGGAGGGTGCAGTCATGTCCAAGTTCGCGCCTTGAGGGTAGGAGAGAGAGCCAGGGGCGACGAACTGAGAGACGAGGTTAGAATGGCGCGGCAAATGAGTGAGACATCACAAGAGCTTACCGTCTGAGCCTGTGCGGCGGTGGACGGATGAGAGGTGAGAGAGTTTGGATCCATGATGAGATTATTGATTGGATTTGGAGCGATAGACGCTAGTGGAGAGATATAGGTATCTTGACAGACTGCGCAGGTCAGAATAAAGATCTTTGCGACGGCAGCGACGGTCAAGGGCGGGCGGACTACGAGATCGCTTGGGCAGAGCGAGGTCGGTCGACGCACGGGGAGATGGGGTCTGCCTATGGGCTAGGTGGAGACGGTACCGGAGGCAGGAGAGCTACAAGCGAATGTGTCCCTCGCAAACGCCGACAAGACTATCGTCGAGTAGGTGATGTGGTAGTAGTGGTAGTAGAAGCTGTCGCAAAGAGGACGGCCGGGTTAGTGTGGAGATTAAGTGACCAAAAGCGTAGCCAGTAAGCCTTTGGCGGGGTAAGTCGGTTGTCGACTGGGGCTGAGGCTACTTCGCAAGGCTATCTCGCAGGCTGGATGAAGCTAGCGCCGATCGCAGTATTGCAGTCGCCTAGGACCTCTGAGAGAGTGGATATGTGCAAATTGGGCACACCGAAGCTTGTGGGTCGCAAGTATTAGAGGGCGCGCAGGTGAAACTAGATTGAGTTCGATCTGCGGCGATAGGGGGCTGAGAGGTTGCGGTGTTGCGACAACGGCGGGCAAGGCGGAAATCTCGTCAAAAAGTTGGGGGGAAGCCGAGTACTTATAGTCGCAGGCGGCGACATGCCAAGCTGCTAGCGTAGCGCTAACGGACAGGGATTGGGCGGCGATTGGGCGACTTAGCGTCACCTTTTGGGTAGCGAGAAGATTTTGCCAGTGAAGAAAAGGGGGCTCGCCAGCATCATGCAACTCGCCTCTTCCTTCACCTCCTCTGCTCGTCATCACCGCCATCCATCCATCGCCAAGTCATCATCACCATGCACCCGCCCATGCCTTCAATGCACCGCTCCTGCTGTTGCCCATTGTTGCTGCTGCATCACGCCGCACGCACATTGCACAGCCTGGCGGCGTCGTGGGGGCGAGAGCAGTTTGCGGTGCTGGACTGATCATCATGGCAGCTTTGCTGGTGCCTACGAGTACCAGCCATGACGACGCACTGACCCGGATTGAGCCAAGGCCCAAACCCCAGCCCGTCCACTCGACCCCCTCGCCTCATTTGCCGTCCTCTGGCCACCTTGCAACGGCGCAACGCGAAAAGATGAAATTTTCCACAGCAGCACGACCTGATGCCTTTTGCTACCTCCCTGCTCAGCTGCAATGCTGCCGCGACCTACACCCTCTCCAGTCTGCTCAATCCCCTTGCGACTGGTGCGACGGCCTGCGCCTCCCCCTGCTTTGTTGCCGCGTGTCACTCTGACAGCAGCGCATGAAGGATCGAGGCACTCGGCGTCGCTGCGAGAACGACAGCATCGCGTCGCTTTATACACTGACGTGCGACACATGTCCAGGCAGCAAAGCTAGGTGATGCGGGGTGGGGTGCAAAGGCGTTGGCTGCTGTTGCTGGCACTGGCTGGCACTGGCTCGCCGCCGCATCTGGGGTGGCATGCATCTTTTCTTCGCTTATGTGTGACTCACGTCTGTGCTGACCGGAAAGAAAAAAATGTGCTTGGCTTTGTTGCTTCTGTTGAACATGCACATCCACGTTTATTCTGGCCATGCACACTACAACTCCACGTCTGCCTACTTGTCTGTAGGTCGCTAACCCCGGTGCCAGTGCTGACGATAGTCATGGCCTTGCTTCATGGCTGATGGCATCTTTCAGGTTTCAGCGGCCGGTGAGGACAATAAAGCCGATGTATAGTGTTTGTCAATCTCGTCATGATCATGGGTTCAACGTAGCAGGGTCACCGGTCGCTTTGCAATAGTCCATGTCAAAAGTCAAGCAGGAAAGCCGAGACACTCCCGCATCTGTCATGCAAGAACCCAGCACCTCTGCCCCGGATTTGCTTGTGATGCGGTCATAGCTTTTTCTTTGCTACGGTTTGCACATCTGCGTGTTATTTGTATTCAGGCCATTTACTACTGCGTAGTAATGCTGTATGCGGCCAAGTCCAAAACACCATGCGTTAGGGCTTCGGATATCCCGAGACAGTCACAATGCTTCTACTCCACTACAACTACTCCACTGCAGATTCAATCACTTAGCCACATATAGGCTCAGCCACTCTTACTCTGGTGCACAGCCACCACCAACCTATCAGCGCTCTCTTGTTTGACAATCCACATTTATGGTATACACAACCATAGTAGAACGGCCCCACACCCAGACTACGGCTCTTTACTTCTACCAAAAAGCAACCAAACCAACACACTCCAAAGTGCGCCATAGACATCACCACCTGCCTATCATTTCTTGTTTTCCATGTTTACTTCTGCCGCCCTCCACCATCTCTTCCGTCATATCATCTCGCCTCCCCGCACCATCATATCCCCATACACGTCCACATCCGCCCACTCGTCTCCTCCATAATCATGTCCGTCACCCATCGCACTCCGCACAGCCGGATCACTCACCTCCCTCGCCTCACGCATATCAAGATATCCCCTCAACGCCAGCAATAACACCCTATCCCCTTGATCGCTCTCGCTCCTGTACTTTTCACGCCGTGAACCACTAAACAACCGGTCCCGGCACATGGGACAAGTGTTTTGTTTCTGCACCCACGTCTCGAGGCAGTCGTAGCAGAAGGTGTGGCCACACCGCTTGATTCGCATCATCGAGTTGCTGCGAGAGGACTTGGTGCGGGGCCTAAGTAGTATGTTGCTGCTGCTACTGCCCGTGTTGCGGCTGGTATAGTAGGTGCGGCGGCAGGTCAAAATCAGCATTCTAGCTGCCGTCTTGGTGTTTCGTATGCAAATGCGCAGGCTGCGCGTTGAGGTGGTGCAGGTGATTGTTTCGTGACAGATGGGACATGGGGTTGTGCTTGTAGTAGTGCATGGTTCGGTGTCTTTTTTTAGGAAGGCGGTTCGTGATGAGTGGAGGAGCATTTCCGTCTGCAGAGAATTGAATACAATTGAGTGGGAAGAACAATAAAGAGAAAAAATGGAGTCGCGACTATTTGACGTGGAGGTCGAGACGACTAGTTTTCAGCTGGCTGCACGACTGTCAGCTCCCCCCTCGTCTCCCTTTATGTAGCATCGAAGATGGGTGGGTGCCAGATTGCTCGAATACATTTTATGGTGCACCAATGCTAGCCAGGGGAATTGGCGTCAGGTTTGATGGGTGGGATGGATCACGACCTAATTTTAGTGTAAGAAAGGGGTCTTGGTCGGAACCTGGATTCCAAGGCTTGCGTAATCTGAGCGTTGTAAACACATTGCAAGATATAGGCACTTTGAACTATGAGGTGTGTGTGTAAAGGTTTTGATTTTTGGGAAGTGTCGTCATGGTACCCAAACGCCGTGTTGCAACGATGTATCCATCTAATGTGTTGACCAAGCATCCGACAAGTCCAGTACCTGGTATGTAGACTTCAAGCCCAGTCACTCTGAAGAGTCCGAAATGTCCATATCCTCTGAACCACCGACATCGTTATAGCCGTCGCCTTCATTTCCCTGATCGTAACCCTCTTTGTCGTCGTCCATCCCCTCCCTCTTAATAATTTCGCCCTCTTCACTTCCCTCCTCCTCTTTCATCTCTTCATCCCCATCCTCACTCCCATCCCAGAATTCTCCCTCAAACACCGCATCTTCTCCTTCCCCCTTCTCCTCCACTGGATCAACTCCAGGCGCCCGCTCCTCGCGCCATTCTTGCTCGAATCTCTTCCTCGTGATGACCCTCTCAATCGCCGCCAGGATCTCCCCCTTCCTCCATAGCTGCCTCAGCTTCTTGTACACAAACGCGACATCGCGCTCCGTAATCTCCTCGTCGGTAGCGTCGAAGAGAGTGCGGTTGCACACAGGACACGCGCAGCTGATGTCGAGCCACGCGAGCAGACATTCTTTGCCGACGATGTGGTTGCACAGGTTGATGCGTGTGGCGGGGTGGGGAGGGCGCTGGAGAATTGGCTTGGGGAATTTGACCGGGGGGGTTGGTAGTGTACCTACTTGAGAAATTGCTTCTGGAGCTGTGTGCGGCGTCTCTGCTACGAGGCCGGGATGCATGGTGAGAGGGAGGGTGCAGACGGTGCAGTTTTCCGAGCGGTGGTGGAGCGAGGGCTGGATCGGTGAGAGACCGAGGATGATGAAGGCTTCTTTTCCGGAAAAGAGTGGCATAATTTGGTTTTGTGTTGATGGATTTGGTTGCGGTAGAGTTGATTGGAGGGCTTTTGGAGTGTTGTTGTGTTGTGGGATTTATGGGATGCAAAATATAGGGCAGTGAAAGTGAGAGTGAGAGTGAGTGGTCTGAGGCTTGTTGCTAGGATACTAAATGACGGCAACGCAGGACTATGTTTACATCTTGCTGTTGTTGTTATTGCTAATGGGAAATAATTTCGTGAATACTTTGCGGATTCGATATTGGCTTTACTGTCATTGAGGTTGACTATGGTTCATGGCCTTTTATTCATCCTTGTTGTACATGTTAAGATGCAAAACAATCGCACACATATACAGCAATGTCAATGACACGGGGCTATACCTCATCCAATATCACATGCAGGCATAGGAAATCGCATGATGTTTTGCTCTAGCTTCATTTAAATGGTTCCACCATATCTCTTCCGTTCATAGTATATTACACTAAGATCACATCCAAAATACAATACTCCCTCACTTTCTATACTCAGTCTGATTCACTGTAGATGATATGCTAAGACAAGGAAACATCGAATTCGTTCATTAATTGTGGCTGCTAATTCCCAATTATGAATATCCGCAAACATGAAGAATTGCACATGCAGTTTGGAATTCAGTTCTCTCGAGACAAAACAAAAGTCTAACCCAATCATTGAATAGCTAATCTCACAAATACAGGGTCGTTCAAGAAAAGATGAATGGTCAGATAGATATTATTAAGTACGCATAATACTGTGATGATATCTCGCCCACCACAACTCAAACACTACCCTGAACCTCCATGAACAGAGAAATGCTATCCAAATGCTCATCGATGCATTGATTCATAACGCTTACGATAACGCCAAACCCAGTAAAACACACATCCCAACCACACCATCCTCATTTCATACAGCCATCAGAAAAATTACTCGAACCCACCCCCGAGATCACTCAATACACTCCTCATACCCTTCTTCCTCCCACCCTCAACCTTCTTCCTAAGTGCCTCCTTCCTCTTACCCTCCTTCTTTTCCAATAGCTGCCTGCGCTCCGCTTCCCTTGCTTGTGCGTGGATGTTGCTGCGTCCAGTACCACCTCTCCTGACACCCGCTTCCTTGGGAGCAGAAGCAGAAGCACCGCTGCCACTAGAACGCTCGCTGCTGATAGATAGATTACTGGTAGCCTGGCGGATGAGCGAGGGAACGCGGAAGCCTGGTGCAGTAGCCACACGCGTCGGGTTGTGGAAAGCCATATTTGACTCTGCACTTGCAGTAGATTCTTCAACTGTGGATTGTCGGCTTAAATTCAGACGGTCAATGATTGGCTTTCGCTGAGGAAACTGCTTGCTGGCGTGCGTCTGCTCCTCGTCTTCCTCGGCGTCTGATAATTGCGAATCCGGGATCATAACGCGTGGGTCTTCGATAAGCTCTGAAATAGAGTGCTTGACGTCGTCGGCTGTAAGAGGTTTGCGACTTAGTGCGTCAGACGCGGTTGTGCGGCGCATGTGTGGAGGTGGACGGTTTTCCTTCTGTGTGCTTTCAGACTTGCGTTTCAATGGGCTGTTTCCTGACGTAGAGAGGCTCTGCGAGTCTGGTATAGCAATATCATCGTCTTGGTTTTGTGGTTGAGACTGAGATTGTGAAGAGTCCACATCCATCTCCTTCTCAGGCATGTTGAGGTAGTCGTATTCACCTTCGTCAGCAAAGTCGGCCAGTGTGTTGAAGAAGGCCTTCTTCTTGTCATCGTCAGCGAGGGCCTTGACCTTTTGGTCCTGCAACAAGGCGTTGGTCTGCTTTTGGAACGCTGCACGCTTCTTGCGCTGGCGCATTTCGGCTTCGTCTTCAGAATCGGACATGTCGAAGCCATCATAGCCACCTGCATGCCTGCGTAGACCGCCTTTGCTTTGCATTTTCTTGTAAAGCTCGGCAAGCTGCTTCTCATCGTCTTTTTTTGTCTTGTCGCTGCGATAAATTAGTACTTAACTTTATGAACTATGAGACACGTAGTTGTACTTACGCGTAGAAAGCAGCAATTTGACGTTCGTCGACTTTGACCTCGTTGTGATCAATCATGGCCTTCAGCTCTTCGTCTTCCTCTCCCTCTTCGTCGTCACTGGCACCCCCAAGACCGGCATATTCGTCCTCAGACTCCTCAGCCTGCTCCATGACAGCTTCCCTTGCCATGCTGTTCTTCTTGTCAAATTCTTCGGCCGCCTTTGCCTTCTTGGCCGCTTGCTGCATCCTTCTGAAGGCATCCTTGCTTGGCTTGGGTGGCCGCTGAATATCATCTTCACTTTCTTCCTCTTCTTCATGATCTTCCAAGTCTTTCTCTACGTCAGAAAATTCTACAGTCATCTCCCGTCTTCCTCGTTGAAGCTTGCCCTTTCTTTGCTTGATTGGAGATTCGGCAACAGTCATCATGACAGTGTCAACTGTGGATGGGGGCGGGGCAAGACCTGCTGGCGAACGCGAGAAGGAAAAGCCGGCGTCCTGGGTTGGCTCAAAATCGTCCGGTTGTGTCTGCGAGAACGTGGGTGAAGTCTTGACCACCTGGCTAATACCTAAGTTCAAGTTGGACTCGGGGCTAGTTCGTGAGGTCTTTTGTGGCGACACTATGGATTGGCTGTTGGGAACCATGAAGTCTGATGCCTGGCTGAAAGGCACAGCAGGTTGAGTTTCGGGCAGATTTCGCAAGAACTCGAGAGAATCTTGCTCAGTGTCAATAATAGGTGCCGACCGAGACTCCGATTCAAGCTCGGCCATTGTGCCTGCGAACATTTGCGTGAGACCTACATCGGCGTTGGCTTTGCCGAAACCAAAAGCGGCCATTGCGTCGTCTTGAGTCGCTGCTTGGGTTGGAATGGCATTCTTGACAGTTTCGGTGTCGCTTTCATCTTCGTCTTCGATGACTCGATTGCGGGCTCTGTTGACCGTTCGCCTCCGAAGAGGTATGTTTATGTCATAGTCTTCCATGTGCACATCTCCGTCGTCATGAGGTGTTTGATCCGTCTCTCCTGGCTCCTCATCCCCATCAGCCATCTTGTCAACAGGCCCGTCAGTACCTTCTGTTTGACCGCCCTCAGCACTGTCAAGAGTTTTGGTTTCTTCGTCTTCGGACCCAGAAAGCTCGATTTCTGCTTCTTCTTGGTTCTCATCATCATCGTCATCGCCACCTGCGTCTTCCTCTCCACTTCCGATATAATCGCCGTCTTCTTCGTCGCTAGACGGAAGTTCATCTAGAGTTTCACCATTTTGCTTGGCCTCGTTCTTTTCTCTCTTAGCGAGCTGGAGGTCTTCCTGCCTTTGCTTTTCGAGCATGGCCACCATATCATCGATTTCCTCTTGGCGCTTTTCCCTCTCCTCTTCGGTCTCGGGGTTGTGACCTCGTTTGATGAGGTCGGCGATTCTCTCCTCTCGGGCTTTGGCGGTCTGTTCACGAGCCTTTTGAGCCAACAAAAGCTCCATCTCGCCACGAGTGACAGACTTTTGACCTTTCTTGACTTTTGGAGGTGATTTTGCCAATTGGGCAAGAGCACGCAGGTGAACGAGGGAGCCACCTTCGTCTTTTTTCTTGACGGGCAATCGATCGAAGACGGGGAATCTGCTTTTTGGCTGTTTCACAGACATATCATCGTCTGAGTCTGAGAGCTCCACCATATCGTCATCCCGGGTCTTTGCATCTGTTACAGTATTTTGCTGCGCCGATGTCTCTTTTTGTTTCATCCAAGGATGCTCTGGAAGATGTTGGAACTCTGGTGCTCTTCCTTTGCCCTTATCGAGCTTGGTGGACTGTGGGGCGTGAATGCCATTCTGTGTCTCTAGCGCCACATCAACAGTCTTCTCATCGCTCGGTAGCGCGTGCATTTCTACGTCGTGTTCTTGTCTTGATGGGCTTTTCGCCTGGGCATCATGCACCTGGTTCACCTCTGCATCGGAAGAAGTCAATGCCGAGCTTGGCTCAGGTGTTGGAAGCGCTGCGGCATCGGTGTTTGGCGCTTGGAAGTTGAACTTTTTGAAGAGATCCTGAGTTGTGAAGCGCTTTTTCGTCTTTGCCTGGTGCGTGAGCTGCATGTTGCGACTGATACGCTGCTGATCCCGGGCCATTGCCTCCATGGCTTTCTTGCCTGCTTTTCGAGTTGGCTTGGCTTGTTGGGTAAGCCGTCTGCCGCTCTCGCCATCTGTGTCGCTTCCAGAGCCCCCCTCGTCCCGGCGCTGCGTAGCCTTGTTAGACTTTTTCTGCTGTGACTCCTGCTCTTGTTGTTTTACCAGCCTCTCCTCACGGATACGTCGTACTCGCTCTTGCAGATCTGCATTGTGTGCGGGCTGTGATGATTCCGAATCGGAGCCATCATCTATTGCTTGCCTGGACTTGTTCTTGATTGGCGAGGGATCTGGTGTGACAAACAGACCCGGTGATTCTGTCCGTGATCGTACGTTTGGCGATGGCGAGGCACGAGGGCTCACAGTTTTTGTTCTTCTCGTAAATGACTTGCGAACGTTGGCGCGCACAGGCATTTCGTCGTCATCATTGCTACTTTCAACGGTAGCAATGACATATGCGCCTCCCTCTGCTGGCTGTGGAGCTGATTCGGCTATTGCTGAAGTCTTGCTGGCAGCTAATCGTTTCTTCATAAGTTCGTATGCATCTTCTCCGTCGCTCTCGTCTACGTCATTGGCTGTGTCTGTGTCCAACTGTGGGCGTATTGCCATTGTGAGGGGTGTTGATAGGGTAACGGGAGCAGGTGACTCGTCTTCGGATGCTGAACTGCCATTATCAGACTCAGCCTCGCTTTCTGAAGACTCGGCTGTGGGTTTCCGTAGTGCTGCGAGGAGCTTTGTTCGGGGCTTTGCGGACGCGTCCGGCACGCGTGCTGGTGAGTGTGACATGGGCACTGCTGCTTCTGAGAGTTGTTGCCTTGGTTCGATGCTGACAGGTGGTTGTTATCTGACTAAGTTGGCGTCGTGGGATGCGGGGCACAACGGTGTGAAGTTGATATCGGATGGAGTTGCCGGGCTTGTGGAGGGTCAGGCAGACTGTTGGCGAGAAAGTCCAAGGTCAAAGAATTAATACAAAGGCGTCTTGGCCTCTTCGTAAATATCAGAAACGAACAGCGATGAATTGTGTGCCCGAGTGTGGTATGGTCAATTGCAGACACATACACGGTTGGACTGCGAGCGTGATTTCCCAAAGTCACGATACGTACGCGACGTGACGTGACGCGACGCGACGCGACGAGTTAGACAGTCTAACCGTATGTAGCTTCAAAGTAGCGCTATGCCAATTGGGCCTTTTCCTCCACTACGCCCATTGTGCTTGACGCCATTGTTTGTACGAGTCGTCGCATCGCAGTAGGGAGCCATTTGCATGATCAAAGCACACATACCATGTCCACACATACTCGATTAGGCCAACCGTCTTTCTTTTCTAGCCTCACTTAGTTGGAGGCTACTCTAACAGACACGCAATCGTGTTTGTCACCCAAACCTGTGTTCGGATCTGCTACTCTATGTAATAATACGCCACAGGCCCTCCTATTCGCTCACCACCATCAACACCACCACCTACCACTCGCTCATGACACATGTCCACCTACCATTGCATGTTTGGTGTCAGCATATCAGGCTTTGTTATGGTGGTGGTTTGGCAAGCTCCGCGCACACCGGGCCACTCGATCCGTGGCCTAGCCTCTCACACGTCGACTTTTGTGTTTTATCCGTTTACCCAAAATTTCGATCGCTGGTCCACTTCGTGTTAAGGCATCGGATGACATCCACCGTCCTCAATGTCGCCTCAGCTCAGCTTCTGCTTTCGCTCCCACCCGGAGCGGGGCGCCGCTTTGAGATAGACTCAGCCACCGAGCACGCCGTCGTCCGCCGGCAGCATGAATGCATACTTCCATGCAATCAATCTCTCTAATTGCCTTCCTCCCACTCCGCTGCCCGTCCGAGATCGATCACCGACCGATGCCAGCACTGGGACTTTCCGTGAAACATGACGCCTCTTCACGCCCGCGCCACTATACACTGTACTAAGTAAGTATACAGTATTCGCCGGCCCGCTCGAGCTTTGCTCCCTCTCTGCCAATCTCTCGCAATTGACAGCTTGATGCTGTGGGTGACATGCAGGCTTGACCAGCAATTCCCTCGCATAAACTCTAACGCTTCCCCGGCAAGAGGGCGTCGAGGTACACGCTGCGCATGTTATGTTGGATGCTGTGCCGCATGACTTCTGTATCTCCGGCTTACTTTTACATACTACACTGATGGAGCGGCCGTCAAAGCCCTCTTTACACCACGCGTGTTTCGACTCATGCAGGCCGATGGTCCAGGCAACCCGTAGTCGTTGTTTTACAGACGTCTTACCTGTTGGGAGCGGACCATTGCCGCGGGCCAAAAATAGGACAGCTTGCCCTCACCGGCAGCAGTACCCCAGAAAGACGGTTGCTAGTTAGGCAGATCCTGCAAGGAATGCTTGATTGCAAAAAGGTCTCCCTGACGGACACGAGCGATCATTCGACGTTATGCGGGATCTGCATGAGTCCTTGCCTTATCTCGCCTCTGGCAGGATGACGACAGGTCCGCTGCTGGCAAAGGGAGCCTGCGCCCCATACACACTTACATATGCAACACGTGATCATCAGTCCCACCCGCCGAACCTATACCACCGCCAGTTCTGCACCCGTGGGGCCCAGAAAGCGTCCGTTACCCATCATCGTCCGTCTTGCGTCGATGCCCTCGGGTGATACTGTTGCAAGGCACCAGGTGTGCCGTATTTGTTCTGCCGACGCAAACTATTGTCTACGTCTCCCTCCCCGTCTCCTGAGCAGCATCCAACCCAGCCTCCTACGCAGCACTGCCACGAGAGCCACCTTTTTTGCATACACGCATCCTGAGACGCCCTCGGATCAATGTCCGAGTATGCACTTTTGCTACGGCACGATGGATCAGTGATGGTGGGGTCAGTTGGGTTTGCATCATGCCTGATGCAAGCGACGGCTCCAGACGCTCTTTAGGCGTTGGAGAGGCATCGAGCAGGGTTGGACGGTACAACAGCTCCCAGATGGCGAGCAGATGCGCGTTTCACGTTGCCTGCTAAATTACCCCTGAGCACGCTACCCTAGGCTGGAAGCGCTGGGGTCCCTGCAGCGCCGCCGCGACGATCTCCCTTTAGGACCATCAGGCGGTTGACGCGTCGCCTCCCGACGCTGTTGTTGCTGCAACGCTGCTGCGTGTGAACACTGTACTGCCATGCCCGCCAGGGCGGCTCCGGCAGCCTCAAAGAAAAAAGTCGCCCGGACCAAGAGTGTGCCTGTCTGCCGCAGCGGCAAGCGTCGATCACGAGCGGGCGTTGCAGCAGCCATGGAATTATGTGCCTGCATGTGCCAAGGCAGTCTCCTAGTGCCCTCTTGAAACCCATGAAACAGGCCACGGATCTTGCTCTTCTAAACAAGAGCCGTCCGTCTCCGCCCGGGAAATTGGACGATCAATGTCTTCCTGACGGCCTAAGATCCGAGCTTATACCCATTCGTATATCGTCAAAAGCTTCTCGAACGCTTCCATTTCGCGCGCACTCGCCTCCCTTTACATAGCGACAACACTGCTCTGCCCGCCCAACACGGCCCGTGAACCCCAAATCTCCGGCATGATACAGGCTTCTGCGCGCATACTTGGATAACATGGAGGCCGACGAGTCTCAACTATACCAGTTCAGCACTCCTCAGCAGAGCAACTCGTTCAAACGACCGCGACGCAGCCTGCAAGGCTCCACGCCCTTGACCAGCGTCACCGAAAGCGTCACCTCCTCGCCCCGTCACTCGGGACAGAGCCAGTTCGCACCCCAGCTCTTCGATCACATCAATGCGCTCAAGCACCTCGATGATCAACAGATTTTGCAGTTACTGTCCGTTGCGCGCAATGGAGGTCAGTCGGGTTGCATCTATGATGCCCTGCCTTTTACTTACGCGACTCTAGATGGCATGCGTCGCTCAGGCGCCGACAGGTCGTCAATGTCGACCGTTGGAAGCCGTGCGTCGTCTTATCTGAGCGTACCGTCTAGCAGAGTCCCCAGCATGCTCTCGGATCCGCGTTCATCAATCGCATCGACCGACTCGTCGTACACGCACTACAGCGCTGCTTCGTCGCGCATGTCGACCGCGTCTTCTCGTCTTTCCACAATCTCTACCACGTCAACGCCTGCACCCAAGAACTTCGCGTGCACGTTCTGCGATAAGGCGCTCAAATCGAAGCCGTACTGGAAATCGCACGAGGAAGAGTTCCACGAGCAAAGACTTACTTGGAGATGTCCAGACTGTGAGCAAATCTTCCACGCTGGAAAGCGTTTCCGCGAGCACCATACCAAGCTTCATGTACGTCAACTGAGTAACCGTGTCCGCGACCTATGACTAATATCCAAAACAGGGCTGTGAGCATTGCAAGCAACCAAGGGAGAGTGGTCAGCCAACGAGCAGGAAAGCATCTCCATGTGTGAAGAAGTACGAAATCGTCATGCATGACAAGGACGCTTGGGGATGTGGCTTCTGTGCCTCTCTTCTGACTACTTGGGAAGAGCGTTGCGAGCATATCGCACTCCATTTCGAAGAGAAGGGATCGTCAAAATGGAACTTTACTAATGTTGTTCTCGGTCTGCTTAAGCAACCAGAGGTGTCTAGCGCCTGGAACCAGATGATGACAGATCGGTATGGAGAAGAACAGAACTGGCCGTCGTTGGCATGGGAGTCGAAGAAGTGCAACCGTTTACGATACAAGCTCGAAACGAAATGGGACACACGCGTTTTCGACATTGAGAAGTTGGTGCAGGACACCTTCGACTTGGCGGAGATCGAGGCCAAAGACGTTGAATCAGCAAGCGAAGCAACTCCTGATGTTTCCGAGTCGAACGATGCTAGCCAGGGCGAAATGGTGGAATTCAAACTGGAGGCTTCTGACTTGGCACCTGATTTTGGAACCGACAACAGGCTCCAGAGCTCACACGGCCTTCCGCAGGAGCAGATGATGATGGATATTGACCCAGTAGAGCCTCCGCAGACGATGCAGCAGCAAGAGATGGCGCAGTCGCAATGGCCTGTTAGCACAGATATGTCTCACGGTGGTATGAGCGCTGCAACCGGCATGGATGGGTTCAACGCGTTCGACACCAACATGACATCGATGTCGACAGACTTTTCTCAACCAATGGCCCAAAATTTCCAGCCACAATCACAAGGCTGGCCAAATGCAGGCTTTTCATCAACACCTGACCTCCTCAACTACCAACAACAAGCGTCGTACATGGACTTTCAACAGGCCAAGGAGATCGTTTCTGTACCGACCTCTCAATACGCCAACTTTGCGCACTACCCACGGCAAAGCCTTCCGCCAAACTTTCTTCAACAGCAACAGCAACAGTCGCAAGCCCCTAGTACGCCAACATCGCGCCGTTACGTCCCAAGGTTGATCAACATATCGAACAACTCGAGCCACCGCGGTATCCAGATGGACCAGCCACCTCCACCCCCGCCAAAAGATGAGCACCAAAATCGATTCTCACGGCTAATTATGAGGCGGCGTCCCAGCAACATTTCGCAACATAGCCTAGCATCTCACCGTGAAATGGGCGGTACATGGGGCGACGAGCTAAACTGGGGTTAAACCTTGGAAACCATCCAATAATCAATATTCCAAGACATATCTCATCAAACTTGTCAGACCGGCTGGTCCGGCACTGGCACACCCACCCTCCTTTAAACACCAAAAACCTTACAAAAAAACACATACATCACCGCAAACAAGGTGACTCCGAACCTCGCTCCGATACCATCGAAGCGAGCTACACGTCACCTCAACGGCACCAACCCCCCGACCCTGCATCTCTGCAGCCTTTTCTCCTTACGTACACAACAGTCACACGCATGTCTCCTTTTTTATTCATTCGACCAAGCAGGATAGGATTCTGATGGGGTCAGAGGACAGTGAAGGAAGGAGAAGAGGAATATACCCATTTATGCAGCGTCTTCTTTTTGGATTTTTTTTCGACATCTTTTTTTTATCCCCAGCTTCTGATTTTTCTTTGGTCTATCTATTATTTTACGTAGCAGCGGTTCTCTTTTTTACCTTTTTCGGAAAGCTTGCCAGTTGCTTTCACACAGCACATAGCTCAATACTTCACTTAATACCCCCTTTACTTTCATCTCCTCTCCTCTCCTCACCCACATATTCACACATTCACACCATTTTCTCCTACTTCCCTTTGTTATTTCCTCTCACGCAATGCGATTGATGTAATGAACGTGTGGTACTTGTTTCGGGAATCTAGATGCGGGGACTTGGGTAAACTTTGGGGATTAAATTTCAGACTAGGGCCAGATACCATATAGAAAGATTTTTTCTGGATTTTTAATTACCTTGGGCACAAAAATAGTCATTCCCGTGCTCCTACAAGCTTGCATAGTAGTATGTACTACGTACTACTACTTCTACACCATTTTTGGGCCCCACAAACCAGGCAGACAAGCACCACATTTATCACGTGAGACTTTGCACCAAAGAGGAACGTGGGGTCCCAAGTCCCTCCCAAATTAAAACATTTTTACCATTTCCAACTCGGTATGCGGAGGCCCGCCCACCCGCTTCATACTATCCCGGTACGTATTCCGAAACAAGCCTCCCCATCTCTCTCCTTCCTCTTCTTCGCGCCACCCTTTTTCAGCCCTTTTGCCCATGCGCCCCTCCCACCTCTCACCTCGGGCGGCATTACTTTACAATCTCACCTCTTACCAAGCAATCAGTCATCATTAACCGTTTCTGCACCCCCAACCCCCCCTCTCCCAAATAAAATAACTTGATTCGAGCAACACATACACACGCGTTACATATGCTGCGCAACCCATATCCCCCTTTTTTTCTATGTCATTCTTTGAATTTCCACCCCGGTCCTTCTTTACTTTACTTATTAGAGCGATCGGAGGGATGGGCGGGGGGGGGGGGGCCAGCCCCA